TTACAACCTGGCCGGACAAATTGCACACAACACCGATGCAGTGGATGGTGAAATGCGTTTATTTTCCAGCAAACGCCGACTTAAGTAACCACAGTATGAGGATATGATTGGCTAACATCATGGAGAGGGTGGGGCCCTATCTCCTCATACAGCGCACTGTCTTCCGATCGGCTTTCTCTAGCCAATCACAGTCCATACATAAACCGCACCTGATTATAAGCCGCACTTTGGGTTCAGACCAAAATGGTGTGGCTTATAATTGTGAAATTACTGTAATTTATACTTGTTGCCCATTGAGGATGTTCTGAACCAGCTGGATGAACTCCTAATTAGAATAAAGTCAGAGACCAGCATTTCCTCCCAACAACTCACAGAAATTTGCTACTGAAAAAAATATATTGACTGTCTGAGCCTCTCCCACCAAACAATGTTTTTACCCAAAACTCAGCTCCACTACATTCCAGAAGAAATCTTTATTAACATCTACATAACCCTTAACTTCATTTGCATTATTTTTTTAATTTGCTGCTCTCCACCCTAAGCAAGCACCTGAGGAAAAGGATTGGCCGTTGGCTATAAACAAAAGACAAGTAAGTCTCATCTGGCTGAGCTTCTCTGTCGTCTGCATCACACTTATTTGCAATAATGAATGGAATGTCAGAAACACAGAGATATACAGAAATAGAAACACAGATTCAGATGTTTTCTGATTCCATGTTTTAGAAAGAAACTCAATGACAAATCAGCAAGGCTGCTCCAGAGTACTCCTTTATCTGGATGGTTAAAAAATGTCACCATTCACACCCTTAATTTTTCTGTTTATTCTTTAGCTGCCACACAGCCAAGATTCCTTTTATCACAGGGCAACACTTGCATTCTTACACCTTACTGTCAAAATATTTTATGTAAAAAAAATATTTCGTTTTTTAACCAGCAAAATATTAAAAATACAAAAACACTTATTGCAAAAATTAGCTGGTTTTCTCATGTTCTTGTGCATCTTGTTGCTTTGTTTCACCAAACATCATAGCTTTCACTGTTAACAAACTCTTAATGTTTCACAGAGTTTGATTATTTTTCCTAGCAAATCATTTGCCTGTTATATATTCTGAAAAATAAAATTCATGTAGATTGATATTCAGGTTCTTACACAGCATATCAACCAACTGAAATTGTATACATTTATTCATGTATGTATATATAGGAAATACATACACCTATTCACTTCTCTTCCATGTTTGATTAGCTCTGTTACAGCACAGAATCCTTTTAGAGAAAAATGTGTACAGTCAAACCTGAACAGTCAGATCGTGACATACTCAAGCAGAACTAATCCATGTTATGGCTTTTGTTTAGTTTCGATGTCTGGAATGAAACCTGATCTCTCACAAGTGCATGTAAATACAAATAAGGGCAAAGGATATTAAGGACAAAGTCCCTACCAGAGAATAGGGAAACTGATGGGGTTTTGCGATATCTCTTGACTTATTCCAAACCTGTGGTCAAGTCATTTCTCAAAGCTCAATCTACACTAAAAGCTCTAACACAAGTCTATGTCTCTGGAGTGTGAAAAACACATCTCTAACCAGCTGTGATGATTAATGCCCTCAGGTAATCACAACCCAGCTGTCAAAACCACTAGATTATCACCAGGTGTTATTCTGCATAGAATAAAGGTTTACGGTTCTGCAAAACAACCACTGTTTTGCAGCAGCTAAATCCCCATTTCAGGAACAGTTAAGGAAACTTTTCCTTGGATATTATATTACTACCCACATTCCAATGTAAACACAATTGTCCACACCATTGCTTAGACAGGTCAAAAAAGGTGATGAAGCTTCTAAGCCAAAACTTTTAAGGTGTTAAGATGAAAATTTTAACCCAAAAAAATGGATTGTCATAGTAAATTAATAATTTTGCTACACATGGTAATTTGAAAGTTAGTTATTTTTTACCATGTTTTTCAACCAGGATATTTAAAGTATTATCAGTAATGTGGTATCCATGGGCAGAAGTACATTGAAAACAGAAATTCAAAAATCCTCCTTGCAGTCTTGGAAGGAGAAAAAAAAAGAAAAATAAAAAAAGAAGAAGAGAAAAGCAAACACAAGACAACAACAAAAAACACAACAACAACAAATCAACCAAAACAATTTCATTGGCTTCAGATTTCTTTTCAATAGATTTCTACCAGCACACTTAAAAATACATAGGCATGTGTATACATATAAACCTACATCTTCATTTATTACATTTTCCATATACAAAGTGTAGACTTAGACTAATCTTAAAGGATTAGCTGTGTTTGCTCTACGTTATGTGTGTTTAGTTACATGTTTTACATGTTGCAAAACTAAATAAGTATTTCTGTAGGTGTAAATAGGGTACACCTTTGCAAAACTCTAGCTGTTTATTGATTTGGGTGCATGCTGTGAGTTTCCCTTCCGTTTGAGTTGAAGTTGTTATACCTCAGTGTAATATTATAGCAATGCCCTTGTTATTTACATTCCAGTTCAGTATAACTTGATCATTAGTTACTCATAGATGGTGACTATAACATAATGGACAGCAAAAGTAATTTTTGTTTTCTTGGTCTATTGTCACAAATTAAATTATAAACTGGAAGAAGCTGGGGTGTTCATATTTTGTTCTATCAATTCTGAAAATCCAAAACCCCAGCTCTAAGTTTGAAGCAGTTTAAATTCAACTTAAATCAAATTCATTGGAGAAATGCACTACTCAGGGGTGACTGGTAAGTAGGTACATACACCGGTTTAGCGTGTAAATTGAATACACTGCTCTCTGCTCAGCCTCAGGAGTTATGAAGCATGAGCTGTGGGCAGCAATAGCAAGCAATTATTCTCCCAGCCCACTGGCAGCTCATCTTTAGTTAGCTCTCAGTGTGACAGTACTCACCACATTCACTCTTATGGACAGCCAGTGTGTATTTACAGTGCGTGTGAATACAGACAGTGCCTGGGTTTGTGTACTTCCTCGCCCCTGTTCAGCCAGTTAAATCCCCTATCCCAAGCATAGTGATGCAGTGAAGCTTTGGGGATCTGCTCTCCACTCTGTCCTCTGAACAGAAGGGAGGTTCACAGCTGATAATCACATTATGAGGCTGCCCTTAATCACTCCTCACAAAGCAATGTAAAGTCTTTTGTAAGTTCCTTTCTTCTTCTCTTGGTTACAGTCCACTGAATGCCAGTATCTGTGAACTGAAGCCAGGTATTATGGGCTGCCCCACTCAGATACCCCCTGTGGTTTTCCTCTGGTTGACATTCTGTCCCCTTGGCAACTGAATTCTCTCTACCTAGGCTCTGAAAACTATTCACTGCAGTAGAATGAAACCAGTTGTAAATACTAGAAACTTTACTGTGGTACCACAAATCATTTCTCTGTAAGACAGGATACAAACACAAATTTCCAATGAAAACAAGAAAATTTGTGTTAAGCAATGAAAGACTCATTATTATTCTCCTGGAATAAAGCAGTGAAACAGGTTACCATTGCATTTTAAAGAATTTTAAAGTCAATAACCAATTAATGGTTCACCTACGCAATCTGCAAATCCCTAGGGTACTACAAATAAAATATGTATATTGAATTGGCTCACTGGACTCCAGTTAAATACTTTCTTTTCTTCTCTTGCTCTCATAATTGACATGATAGATATATTGACAAGATCAAAAATATACAGTAATTTCACGAATATAAGCCGCACGGACTATAAGCCGCATCTCTGGGTGTTGGCAAACATTTTGGTTTTTGTCCTTAAATAAG